TCGGTATCATCGATATTCATATTTATTTATTTTTGTACTTGCATTTCTTACTTACGTTATCATCATCCCCGATTTCGTCATTCTGCGGTGTGTTAACATTTTCACATCTTTGAATCCTCAGTACATGATCTAGATGGTTCCTATTATGCCAAAATTATTATTGTTTAAGAGATAGAAAAAATTTTATTACTTTTTTAATCCGTTTTAATATCCGTTATAAAGTTTTAATACGTTTTTACGAATATGAATGTTCTAAATATCAAAGTGAAAATTCACAATTTCGATAAAAATATAAATTATAAATCTATTAAATGTACATTTATAATATATTATTTTATATATTTAATGCGGAAATTGTTATCCTTAAAATTAGAACTTTCATTTTATGTGAACATGTACCTTATTTCCGCAGATTTCTGATTATTACCAAGAAATTCTGATATATTCGAACGCTTAATTTTTCTTGCTTCCTCATTAATTACGGGATTGTTCAAAAAATTGTTTAGTGCTCCATTGATGTACGGTAGTGACTAATAAATGATACGAAAAATTCTTTTAAAGACATCTCTTGTATTAAATTTTCTAGATAAAATTTTTCTTTTCTGAATTAATTTTAAATGCGTAACTTTACTCACAGTTGTATAATCTATTGAGAGAAGAACGATCAAGGTAGACATGAGTAATGAAGATATTTTGGACGCTCTGGCTTGTGCTAGCCGATGTAACGACAAATTCATTAAAAGTGCAGTAGCGTATTCGAGCCTATATAAACTTATAATGCGACATTTATCGTGTAGATGATTAATCAACCATTCCAGTAGTCCACTCTCTATCATATATATTCGTTGTTGTCTACGTAAAGATAGTTTTTGTAACATCGCCACCATCATGTCACAAGCAAAAGGATCCACTCCATCAGCGTAATTATTGTCGAGACAAGCAAAGGTCTGAATATCGAGACGATTGCAATTTTTATTAATGCTATTCAATTTCATGATTATTTTATGATCATCTTTAGTAATTTTTGATAAATATATTAAAACTCGTTTGGTTTTGATGTTTTAAATTTAAATGATTACAAGAACAGTATGTCCAATCGATAAAAAGTAACGTAATCTATGTATAATTTCGTACTTAACAATGAAACTATTATGTGTTATATAATATATGACTGTATGCTTCTTTTTATTTATATTTTGTATCTTTAAGCCACCTTCAAACATTTTAAATTTTATATTTAAGATCTTCTTAAGTACAGTCTTAAGTCATAAGATAATCACAAAGCCATATTAGTATCTTAAGACATTACCTAAGACAGTCTTAAAATAAGAACGAACTATGAATACCGGCTGTAGACATTATGTTATTTTTAATTAGTAATGGCTGATTATACTGTTATTTATGTAAAAACATACCACATTTATAACAGAGGATCCAACCGATAAGTAATCTCTTCCACATCTGAAAGATGCCAAGGTATTTAGCAATCGCGCAGTGAATTGTTGCAAAAGATGCCTGGCGTAAGCTTCTCCCGCTGTCAATAGACACGGTAGAATCGACTTGCCATTGTCGCTAGCAATCTGTCCGTGAAGTCCCAACAAATCACGACTTATATATTCGTGTAAAATTTCATCCTGTTCTGCTGATTGCACGAGCGTTATTTTCTAAAAATATAGATGCTTTTTTTCAAAGATTACTGATACCATCGCATTATTGTAAAGCTATTAATCATCTTAATACCCAACGCAATGCTTGTAACAGCAACAACTTTGTCTTTACATCTCCGCTAATTAGATGTAATTTGATCTTTTTATAATCTAATAATTTGGGAGATACTGGTACTGCTGTGATATCAAGTTTAGGCAGTGTAATTGCTTTTACGTCAATACGATCGAGTTGTAACAAGGACGGCTATCGAAAAAGTAATCATACATTAAAAATAAAAAGTTTATAGAAAAGTTTCGAAGAATATATGCTACGAGCTTTTTCTTCTTTGTCCCTTTTTTACTTACATACGAAGTCTCTCTTATATTTTGATTAAATAAATCTGGAAATATCTTCATACAAATCTCGAGTGTTCGTTGTATATCAACATTTTGCCCTTTCACTGAATTCTCCAATGCCATCGTTAATTCCCCGGCAACATCTATTAATTTATGATAATCCGCGTGCAACTTGCGAAATCTCACTTTTAGTTTTTCATAATTTGTATGTATACTACACAAATGAGATTTGGTTACTACTAATTCACGATTATATTGAATCAATCTTTTGTCTGGCTTGTGCATTTTCAACAAATTGCTAACACTTTCTTCCGGATTTATTATATCTTCTCGCAAATTATTGATTGTAATTTGACTTCCAGTAATATGCGTTTGTGTGCTTCTGTAAGTGATAATATATGAATAAGATATTTTCTAATGTTTTTATTAAAATATCAGAGGAAAGACATTTTACTTTGATTTTAAACTTGTTTTATTAGAAAAATAATACTGCTCCTCATCGTCGTAATCTAGAAATATAGGTAGATCTCTATCATTTGGCACAATCGATATATTATTCTTTATAGTCTTATTTTGTGCAACATCAGATTCCATAGTCGTTTTTGTTACTGGCATGGTTGTATGAACTTGTACTAAATTCTGCAATTGCGTTTTATTGGAGTTTATACTGTCTAAATTGCTCAAATCCTACAAATTCAATATTATTTATAATTTTTGTAATATATATATATATATATATATATATATATATATATATATATATATATATATATATATATATATATATATATATAAAGGTACAGTTCAAGTTCCCAGTCAGAAATGATAATGAAATTGACATCGAATCGACGTCGAATCGAGATCGATTCGATCCAGTCGATTCCATTATCATTTCTGATTGGGTTTGCTTACTTGTCTGTGACGTGTGATAAACGAATCTAGATTTTTTAATAGTTCATCGGCCCAATGTTGTTCTAACATTTTGGAGAAACAAGTATTTGTATACAAATCTTCTATAAACGGTAATGCATAAAACGGCTGTAATTCTGTATCATATTCTAATTCTTTGCCATCTCCGTTCAAATAATCTTGTAATTGCTTCATACTGCTGTTTATATTTTTTTCAATTTCAACGGCATTGTTCTGTTTATTTTTATTATTAATAATATTTTTGGACTAATTAAATTATCGGAAGTATTTTATGTATAAAAAAGTATTAATATAATTAAATATTTCATCATATAAATTATCACATTAAACTTAAATATTTAAAAATAATAAGAAAATATTTAAGAAAACCACATTCACAGAAGATCATTTCTCCATTTAAAAAAAATTCAAATTACCTCTTTGCATTTTTCCAAAAGATCATTTTCTATTGAAGACAATTTCAGTGTATTTGTTTCTGATGGTAGATCTAATTCATAACAAGAATTTTTAACAATGTTGAATAATAAATCAAATTATATGTATAATACTATATACTATTGCATATGAATAATAATATACCATTATTTGTTTTACCATATTCTTTATATTGATTGGCATGTAATTTACGTTTAGGTAGTACAGCAAAGTATACGTGCAAATAAAATGTTAATTTTTTGTATTCTTCACATTGTTTAATACTATTGGAGAACAAGTTACTCCACAACTAGAAAGAAAGAAATATACCACAGTATATGTAGGTATTCAATGTTGATCATAAATATATTTTTACTTGAAAAAATGTTGAATAATCTCCCGTATTGTAGCATAGCATTAGTTGAACATGGGGATCTGTTACTTCTCCTAATTTACGTTTCAAAGTTTGAAAGCCCATTTGTAAAGCTTCTTGAATTAAAGCTTCAGCAGTACTTTCAAAATTATGATCCAAAAGAAACTGTGAATCGTTTTTTTGTACAAATTACAAAATATACAAATCAGTCTAAATATGATATTGAAGTTGTTGCATTAAATATTAAATATTATTAATTATACCTTATGGATTACTTCAATGTTTTTATCAGCCATTTGATTTTTTGGACACAACTCAGTAATTACATATGTATTTATTCTGCCTAAAAGTATCATTATGAAAAGATCACTGTGAAACTTTACAATCAAATAATTACATATTAATTTAAGAATTCAATTAAAAAAAAAAGAGTTAAAAGTTTTTAGGGCAAATGAGAATTAGACGGGTTAAGTGCAGTTAATAGTTAAGGAACACATTAAGTCTATTCTTACTTAGAAATTACACTTTGTAGTTTATTGTGCAAATAATATCCAATTGTAATTTATTTCCAAATAAAAATAAACTTAATATATACGCCTCATTAGCTATGCATTCTTATTTGCCCTAGAAATTCTTATCTTTATTTCTTTAATATTGAATTGTAAATGGCTTTTATGTAATTTTTTGTATACTTTATGTAAACAACTTAAATAATCCATTTAATTAATATCAAAATGAAGATAATTAAATTATCATTTAATTAATATGTAGCTTAGTTTACTTACGTCACTGACATTCAATTATTATTCAATTTGTTCTTGCACACGTAACTCGGCAGGTATTTTTCTGACAAACTCATGCCGCAGAGAGCGTGTCAGTTGAGGTTCATTAATCGATTTTATGCAAATATACTATTGATCAGTATACAGTACTGGAGCAACAGCAGTATATTTCGCGATTGCCGCAGCAGAGCTCCATTTTTTATTATCAAAATTCGCGCTTGTTAAATATTGTCACGAGTGAGTTCTGTATCACGTTTCGATATCCACGTAATGGAATTAGTAATTTATCATCGCCATGTGATTCGCGGAAGAAAAACGTTTGACATTTACGGCTGCGTACCTACGACCGAGGAGACTTCTGCTAGTTCTGCAAACTGTCAAGTTTCGTCAATCTCCCTCGCACGCATGCGCACGTGTGCACGCGGTCCTCGACTGTCATAGTTGTTTACATTATCGACACTTATTCTGACGGTATATTTTATGGAATATAGCTGGTATATTATTACAATTTAGGAAAATTATAAAAATGACGCAAGAACAGAGTTCCCTGTTGCACAACGCTATCATCTCAGAGGTTTTATCTCGTTTGTTAATTCATTAACTCAGAGGTTATATTTCATTAAGAATTCTCTTACAAATTAATAATTCACAGATACCTAGCACTGCGTATTACATACCGAATTTTATTACTGAGGAAGAAGAGAGGCAAATCATAAAATGCGTGAACAGTGTACCGCAACCAAAATGGACGCAATTAAGTCACCGCAGATTACAGAATTGGGGTGGTATACCACATCCCAAAGGGATGATAGCGGAAGCGATTCCTGATGTAGGTAGAATATGAAATATCTTAACAATTAGTCTGGGTCTACAATGAGTCGGTAGTTTTAGAAATTAGCTGCTGGCCAATGATTTCAATCAATCCTAACTCATTGACTCTCCCTTAGACTTGCTTCTGACTCAACAACTATAAACTATCGACTCATTGTAGATTCAGTCTTAAAATTTATTTAGAAATGAAAAAAGGCTAAAAGCTTCTATATTTATTATAAGTATTTTATGTGCTTCATTTAAAATTATTAAATGAATGCAGAATTTATTTTGAAATGAAAAAAGGCTGAAAGCCTCTATATTTATTATAAGTATTTTATGTGCTTCATTTAAAATGATTAAATGAATGTATTAAATATTGACAATGACATTTTAGTGGCTTCAGAAATATATTGATAAAGTGACAACTTTGAATGTCTTTGAAAAAGGAGTATTGCCTAATCACGTTTTAATTAACGAATATTTATCTGGACAAGGAATAATGGTATGTCAGAGATGAAAAACAAGGATATACATGTATTAGGTCATTTAAAAAATATCCGCGGTTTTTTGTTCAATTTTTGAATGAAAAAACCGCGGATACTTTTTAAATGACCCAATACTATTTTGCAATTTTTTTTATTATAAAGTATGAATTAAATAAAAAACAGAGCTGTAGGAGTTAGCGCAAAGTTTTTTATTTAACTTGTTTTGAATTTCGAGAATTCTTTTATACTAATAGAAATTATATTTATCTACATTAAAATAGAAAAAATACAAAAGTATGTACACAATAGAGTAGTATATACTGAATAGTAACATATAATGCCTTCATTAGGCACACTCGGATGGTCCACTTTTTTATCCTGTTGTAACTACTATCAGTTGTGGTTCTCATACAATCCTTGACTTTTACAAACGACTTGAAATGACAGAGGTAGATACTGAAATATATAATAAAGAAGATACATAAAAATGCTATATAATTGTACTTAATGCGATTTATATTATTTTTACAGCAACAACAATGCAAGTTAGAATTTAGTTTACTACTAGAACGTAGAAGTCTATTAATTCTACAAAAGGATTTGTACTATAATTATTTACATTCTATAGCAGAAAGAGATGCAGATAGCATATCAGAATCTTCGATAAAGAATCTACATATGTGTGCAAAAAAGTTTACAGAAGAGGAAGTAATAAAACGTGATACTAGATTATCTTTAACTATTAGGCATGTGCCAAAAACTAGCAAATTGAAATTAAAATTTTTTTGATATATATGTATATCATTAAAATTTCGAAGACATATAATTATAATAAACAATAAATGTTGTCGTATATTATGTTTTATGACCGTCGTTCATTTTAATTTATGTGAAGTACACTTACTTTATGAATTATCACGATATTTGCATATCTGTGTTTGTGTCATTCTCAAGGCTCACATCCATTACTTCCTCATCACCCTCATCTAACATTCCTTGTAGAGAGTGTATGGAGGATATTAAAACGTGGAATTGTTTACGACGCATTTCTAACTTGTGCTCCAACTGTTCTGATTTTTCCTGAAAAATGATTATAAGACATAATTAATCTTTTTGCAAGTGTTCCAGTGAGTTTTAAACATACTAGTATGTTTATGAAAGAATAGATAATTGGAATAAGGAATAATAGATTTCAGTCTATTAGAAATTATGTATATTCTGATACATGATTTTCAGTAGATTGAAATATGTTATTCCCTGTTTTTATTGCTTGTACTTTTCAAAAAACAGAAACATTGAAATTATTGATTGAAATTATTATAAATAGAAAAGTTATATGTGCCAATATATGTGTGTATATATATATATATTTTTTTTCAAACCTTTAAAGCACCTAATTCTTGTTGCAATGTCTCAAGCTTGATATGTGTTTCCAAACGATCTGGTTGTTCATTAATGACTTTGGCTAGTACATCATATTCTATTCTATTTTTTCTCACACGTTTGGCATCTTGCAGTTCAGCTTTAGTTTTCTCAATGTCTTCCTTCGCCTTCTCTATTTGTACTTCAATTTCTTTTGACAAGTTCTCGTAGCTTTTTAATTCTTCTCGACTCATGTTTGAAACTAATCTGGATTTTTTCTGTGCAAATTCACATTGTGCTAATTGCGACAGCATTCTTTCGTGCAGTGTATTGTCCACATCGGAACTGTTGATCCATTTTATAAACGATTTTAATAGCATATTAATTCTACGATCATCTCCTGTTCCATCACCGTCTATAAGTAGTCGCCGACGTATTACTTCTTCTAAAATTTTTTATAAATAAAAAATTTATACGTTTTACATATATACATTACATCTATATAATATACATTTTATTGAAAGAAAAATATATATAACCTTTTATTACACACATACACAAGTACTATTTGTAATTACTTATAGCAGTAAATATTGTAAACATATATTTGAAAAAATACTACTTACCATCGTTAGACATTATTAGATATGTATTTGTAACAGTTGTAACTAAAAAAGATTACAATTTATATTAAAAAGAAATTTAAGATCCTTAATCAAGATCAATTGAGACTGCAATGCAACCAACTGCAACTTACTGAGTGCAGAGTGTAGGTCGTGCAGGTGCAAGCATGAGGCCTGTTCTTTTTAGCCGGTTCTACATTAGTTGCAAGCCGATCTGAAGCTTGCATTTTGAAATCAATACTTCATATTGGCTGTCGCAACAACTTGCGATCGGCTTGCAATTAATGTAGAACCAGCTTTTGGTTGAACTTTTGCACCAGTCCATCTTTCCTCCTGGAGAGAAAAGGAAGAAAGATGAACTGGTATAAAAGTTCAGCTAAAAAGAACTATGATGAAAAATGTGTATAATGGCGATAATATATTGGAAACAGCCAATCAAATTTGGATCCAAATTCGCTCTCCTACTGCGCATCGGCGGGAACGTTTCATCTCTTATTACACCATATGTATAAACAAGTGCAAATATGTATAAACAAATTTAAAAAAATGTTAACACAAAAAATAAAAGAAACATTTTTTCTTTAAATATTAGAATTATTATAAATTAGACATAAAATATAATGTAAATGTATTGAAAGTGCTTTTATGTTTTCATATTTTTATCGTTAAAATTAATATTTGTAAAAAAAATGTCTAAAAGAAAAATAAAGAGATTGTTTCATTTAACAAATATAATAATAATTGAATTTGAATGATATTATGATAAATAATTTTATGCAATTTGTGTATAACGATTTTCAAACATTTCATTTATCTTGTAAATATAAATGATTGCCGTTTTTTAAATGAGTTATAAATAATTGTACATGAAAATAATAATGCATTTTTTAGACATTGCAAATATAGTTCAGGTTTTTCAAATAAATGTCGAATTTTTTGTTTTCATAATATATTTTTTTACCTTTTCTTTCTCACTCTTTCTATAACTACATACGGGACGATGATAATACGCCTGCATAGTACGCAATTTGTATTATATTGTATTAAATACACTTTACATTTCGTATCACCATTATTATAAGAAATGGTGTAACACTCGCAAATATATAATATTTCCTCATCACAAAAATATGTCTATCTCTGGTATCTAATACATTACGATCATTGGTCCCACATGTGGGTTTTCAAATATATAATATTTGCAACATATATTATGACATCTACAACTTAAACATTACATCCTTCTGGTAGTTTTAACATTTCTGTTGATACCTTTTAACTTAAAAGAAGAAAAAAGAAAAAGATAATCCGAAAACAGAAGTCATCCTACACTCTGTTCTTAAAGGGTACGTCAGGTACATCTCAAATAAACCCGGTAGTAGTTATCTCTTTCTCTTTTACGGAATTGTAATTTTTCAATATTATACAAAACGTCACTGTATTCGTTGACACTCTCAGAGTTCTTTAACATATCAAATTCATCATTCGGTATATTATACAGTCAGAGACAAAGTTCATTAATATTAAAGCAGAAATTAACGTTGATATATAAAATACCAATATTATGTTAAACTAGATATATATTTGTTTTTTTTCAATGCAGTAACTGAAAATTTCCATCATTCAACTATCTTTTAAAAGATGTTTTTTTTCTCACAAAATATTAATAAATACAAAAATAAGTAGTATTATTGTATAATAAGTATTACATATTATTGTATATTTTCTATTGTATTAATTTTAAAGTAAAAGGATTATGAAATATATTATCTAACGTCAATAATAATGATTGTCAACAAATATTCCATAATTTAAAGAATTTAATATAAGCAAATGAGAGATACACTCGCTTATATGATACAAAGATCCATTAATAAAGTCAGAAATCGCGATATTATCTAAATTCGATATCGAATTTATTGATGAAAATATAAATTTTAATTTTTATATTTATATTTTTGATTCTTTGATACGACTTTTGATTTTTTATTTATTTATAAGTAGGAATATATTTTAATTATAATCATTGATCGATTTCTATCGATCATTGGAAAATTTGCTGTATATTCATTTATGCGTTTACTACCGAAGTACAATATTAAAACTGCACAAATTGAATGAAATTAATATACTACCTCCCAAAAAAAGAAAAATAAATAAATTACTATGTACTGTTTAACGAACATAGCCATATATTTAAATCTCCGATAAAATAATCAAAGAACTTTGTCGATCGTTTTACGAGGAAGATTATTTTTTTTGCATCACGTTTAAATACATCTTGTATGAAAGGTCATAAATCGTATTTATATATAAATGCGCTTCGTAAAACTCCTGGAAACTGTGTTACGTCTGAGAGGGTTTTTTGCGTCTACCGAATAGATTGCTCAATACAGAACTTCGTTTGTAATCTTTCCGATTACCACCCGAACTTTGCTCACTTTCTGATCCACTCTCTGGTGGAGCGACATAAGGCGGCAACGATGTCGGTCTACCAGTGTAAGCATTGTTTTGTTGCTGTACACCCTGTAAAAGAATATGAATCATCATTTGGGCTTAAGCGAAAGATAGTGAGATTTATAAATTCGCAATAACACTGAAAAATCGTTATGATTATCATAACAGCCTTTTTTAATTTAAATATAATATATTGAGTAATATTCTAAAATATATACATTTTACAAAAAAAAATTACGAATGTAATAGTAGTGTTATAGGTTCATAAAGTTCGTAAAGTAAATAAAAAATATGTAAGTTTTTTTTAATTCTCAAAAAAAAAAGAATTTAACTTAATTTATTTAATATGAATTTGAAAAGTAGAAACTTACCTGTCTAATGTTTGGTACATTTCCATACGCTGTAACAGATAAAAAATACAATTAAAACATTTTCATTCTGTTAAATTAAGGTCACAAGTTGATGCAACATATAATTAGAAAATTCTGCTAAAATAATTTTTTGTTATTATATCATAAACAGCTATTTACAATTGTTATCGATCATATAAATTGCAGAATTAGGAAATCAAAGTGCAGATATATTGGCAAAATGCAACATTAAATTAAAATTGGAAGTGCTTGTATACACAAATAACGGAAATCTGTTAGTATTAATCTTTTGAGAAATGATTGTGTTTCAGTTAAAGGTTTATATACATATGTAAATATTATAATTGATTCACATTGCTTTAGCATTTTACATCCCTTGCCAAATGCAGAAAAATTTTCGATAAGATGCGGGTATAGATGAGTGATGAAAATAAAAGTATTATATGTATAAACGCAAAATGAATGCATGCGATCTTCACATCGATCTCCTTTTATCGAATGTTTTATAATGACTGACCAGAATCATGAGGAATATTCCATTGAACCATTCTAGTCGGCGGAGGAGCACTCGATGGCAATGGAGGTGCTAATTCTATAAAATGATGATGAACGTTCACGAATATCGACAAATATCGAATAGAATTTTCCTAAACCTTTTGAATCTTTTAATTTATGTTAATTTACAATGATGACGTACCTTGATGTTGCGGAGGAAGATCTACACTGTTTTGTCGATGCCATACTGGTGGCTCCGATGAATACTGGCTGGAACCATTGTGATTTAATGTTGCACTTCGTTGTTGATAGACATTAGGTCTTCCTTGTGATAAATGGTGTTCTATATCTGTGTACATATGATAATATTTAAACAAATAAATCTTTACATAAAAAAATATAAAATTATAGATTATAATATATGCTTGGAAAAATTATTGAATACAAGATGTGAATACAACGCAAAATTTTGTCTAAAATGCATACCATTTCGCCTGTATTGCACCATATTTTCCGAACTGGAACGCATAGGGATAGGTGGAGGAGCGCCTCGCGGCGGTATAGGCGGTTTGTCAGTTCCTAGCATCGTGGAATTTTGTTGATATTGATCCCGCTGAGCCGCGAGTTGCTCTTGCTGTATCAACTGATGCTGCTGCTGCTGCTGCGCAAGTAGCTGTTGTTGCCTATGCATCTGCAGAAATTCCGTCTGAGTCTGTGGTTGGTCGGATCTCTGTGATGCCAAGAACGTCTCGGAGTTTTGCGCGTCGTTGCGCCGTTGCTGATTATGCCGGTGCATCTGCAGGAACTCTATTTGTACCGAGCTGGGTGAGTGTTGATTTGGCGAAATGGGATCGCGCCTAATCACAGAGTTCTTGCGTTCCATTTCCGGTGTGGAAGCGCGGCTACTTCCAGTCGACGCATTGTCATCCGCGTGTTCGAGCTTTGAACCCTGCAATCTTTGCAAGCCTTCTTGCTGCATCTAAATTTGAGAAATGGAAGTTTACTTTATAGTTCAAATTTTGTAGGATATTGAAATAAAGTATATGAAAGATTAAAAAATTAAAAGATTGAATAAATAGTAATATTTCCTAAAAAGAGAGTTTATAGAAATTGTAAAAATATAATGATTTTATTGTAAACCTTTTGAGACTCGTCGTAGCTTAAGAGCTGCATACTTGGTGGTAATTTTGCATGAAATGAGATTTTATTAACCCAATCTTCCATCTCCCCTTGACTTGGTGCTAAAAACAAGAATTCCGAACCGTCCGTGCACTTCAGTCGAAATACGTTTTTCTTTTTCGTGTAATCATCTGCTTTCTCGCATATAGCATTGAAAATTGTTATCGGGGCAGTGGCCGCTTTGCTTAACGCAAAATCATCTGTATCCTTGAAGAAGCACAGTAATTGTCCGCACAATACTGAAATGATTGTAAAATAAGAATAAATTTAAGAATAAGGAAACACTTTACATCTATTTAATGAAGGTACCAGTGTAATACTGCTTCCACGATCGAACGGCTGCCTTTTTACCAGCACTTTGAAGCTCGTGCTTTCGTTCAAGAAGACCTTGAATCTCGACTGGTCGCAGGGCGTCCATGTTCTCCATACGTTGCAGTTTTCGAAAGCTTTGCGTTCTTCGCCTGGTCGTGAAGCTCGGAGTTCGTTTTGGTTTTTTCGTATCCACTTTCATACTTTCGGCCCTCTTAATGTCCGAAGTTGCTGAAAAAATTTGTGTATGGCATAATCAATCATAAAATCTTCTTATACTGACGGTAAAAATAAGATGATGAACGAATATGTTAAATCCGATATTTACAATCGAAATCGATCATTGGTCAAAATCAAAATAAAAATAAAAATGAGGAGCAGACTTCCAAAATACATTTTGTCCAAAACTTCATATTTTAAGTTAGAGATGGCAATATTCAATGTTGGAAAACTCATATTTTAAGCTACTCTACAATGTTTTAAAAGCATTTTTTCATCATCAATTTATGTGCTAAAAAAAGTCTAGATATTCGAAGTACATTATGTCCTTACAAATAAACAAAATTATTTGTTTATTGTTTTATTTGTTTAACATTATTAGGAATAGTTTAGCAATTTTGTTTAATATTTCACTCTTACTGATTAGCAAATTATTATTTTCTGTAACGTGCGTGGTTTTTTTATGGCTTTCTTTCTCGCTTTCTGAAAATTATAAATTTTGGACAAAACGCATTTTGAAAATTTGCTCTTCAAATATATTCCTACTTATAACATTATTATTAATTAAGTTCTTTACATAAATATTATGTACCTCGTCTTAATTTTTCACTAAACATATGCGATAGACCGTATGGTTTCTGAGGTGTCGCAAGTTCTGTTTCGGAATTGATAGCACTTTTCAACGGAGATAACCTGATGAATAAATCAATGATATTTGTGAAAACAGATTATTATTTTAAATATAACCAGCCTTGTGTGGAGTTTTAATTTTTACTCACATATTCGCAGATTCATGTTCGTCAACTGAACCGTTAACTTCATCGTGTTGTGCGCGATGAGAATTATCTAATAATCGTCTACGTTCCTCTTCGCGTTTCCGCTCTTCGGTTATCCTCTGTACTTCTTTACGTTTCCGTTCTTCGAGCCTCGCGCGTTCGACACGCTCTTTCTCCGCTTGACGCGCAGCCATTTCCACCTCTTGCTGCTTTTGAAAGGCTTCTTCCAACTATATGAATATTAATGATATTAAACATTATATTGTAAGCTTTCAACAATATTAATCAACAATCACTATCTTCATTATATTAAACGATAAACTTACCATCGTTATCCGTTTAAGCGCGCTGAATCTTTCCTCCTGTGCCTGTATAGTTTTCTCAAAGTCTTCGTGCTTTCTTATTAACTCTTCTACTTGTGAAATGCTCTCTCCCAATTTATCGTCTTGCAGCATCGGCTCTCTGTTGACTATCCAATTCTCCAGAGTTTCGGCGTCCCTCTTAAACAACTGCGTATCCAAATTCTGTTCGTAAATGTGTCTTCTCTTCTGCCATGTGTCCTTTAGGATCTGCTGGCGTTGTTGCAATACCGATATTTTGTCCTCGATCTCTTTCGCCAAGAAATGTCCCTGCTCGATTAGCTCCTGTCCGGTCCGATAGAATTTCTCGAAGGCTTCTTCACGTGTATCGATCTCTGCTTTGTACTCGTTATGCCTGGAAAGCAGCGCCTCGGCACCAGGAACGTCCCGTGCTAATTCTGGCGCTGTCACCTTGGCCACCATCTCATTTATCCAAGATATTAGTTCCCTATACTCGCCCAAATAGGTCTGCAACTGTTCCGCTTGAGCTAGTTTGTTTCGCCTCTGCGCCGCTTGCTCCAGCAATTCAGCCCAGGCCGCTTCCGCCTCCTGATGTTTCACATTGATGTGTATACGCGCATCGGGGAATAGCTCAATCAATCTTGACGCTTCCTCCATCAGACTCTCCACTTGTTCCTTCACAGCCGCCAGGTCAGTTTCAAATCCCTGATGCTTTCTTACCAGTGCCTGAATTGTCTCCAAATCCTGGCAATAGCCATCCGAGCTGAGAGCAGTTTCCTTCTCTTGTATCCAAGAGATAGTTTCATCGGCTGTTCTGTCAAACATGTGAACTTGTTTAGCACCAGCCAACGCGTCTTGTCGAGCGTGTGCCAATTCTTTCAAGTCCTCCCATTGTTGTTTTGTTTCGTCAATTTTCTGAAGTATCTTGGTTTTTTCGGGATTATTCTGCTCGATCAGTCTTTGTCCTTCGTCGAGTACAGCCGATACACGTCCTTCACTGGTCGTTAAGCCGGCTAGGAAATTGTCGAATATCTGGATTAGCAGTTCTACATGTTCAACGTCACATCCATAGTCCTCCGATGCGGCGATCTTTAATTATAATATTTAATAATTATATCAATATCAGTTTTTGATATGTTATATATTAGTTAGTGTATAAAAAGGCAATTATTACTTGATTATCTTACCGTTGTTTGGTCCCCGATCCATTCAATCACTTCATCCGCTTGTCTGATAAATTTATAAAACTTCTCGCTTTCCGATAATCTTTGCAGTCGATATTCTTTCAATTTTTGCAACTCTTTAAATTTAAATTCGATATCCATTTGTTTTTGCGCGATATTTTTGCTATCAAAATGATGACGTTCGACTAGACCATGTGAAAGTTTTTTCAGATTATCGACCGTGTTTTCAAAACCGGACAGATCACGCTCAATGCCTTCTAGCTTCTTCAGCAGAGATTGCACAGAGTCTTCATCCTTGCCATGATCAGATGAAGTAAGTTGTGGATGTTTCTCTCTAATCCATTGCTCAGCTTCCGCGGCTTCGGCATAAAACTATAAAGAGCAAATTTAATTTTTTTATCATGTGTATGAAAATAATCAAAACTATTAAATCATTATATTATTAAAATCGTTGAAATTATTCACGACATACTTTTATGTAACAATTATTATAAATTAACAAGAGAATGATAATGATTAATTTTATTAATTTTATTAATAAAAATATATTGGATTTCTTACCATTTGTGACTCTACAGCGTCGAGTAATCTCAACTTTCTGACACTTGCTAAATCTCTAAGATGTGATAATTCCTCTTGCAACTTTTTGGTCAGCTGTTCAATCTTGTCCGCTGCGAAGTGTCCACTTCTAATCATTACAGTCGCTCTGCTAACCAGTGAAGCTACTACGGGCTCTCTGGACAATAGTTCCGTTTCCAAAGCATGGTGTTTTTTTTGCAATCGTTGTACAGTGGTCAAAGAGTTACCAAGATCATTGCTTGCGGCTAATGGTTCCTTCTCTGATAACCAGTGCAATTCGTCTTCGACATCTCTCGCGAACTGATGCAGTAACTTCGCGTCTTCCAAATTATCCCTGCGTATCTGCATTGGCTCCTGAAGACTGTGATATCTGTTGATCGTAACTAACGCTCTCTTTTGAATCTCGTCACTCAAGAAATGATTTGATTTCTGAAAGCTGGCGGCGGTATCTTTGATAGATTCACATGCTTCGTTGTGACCGAGCACATCATTCTCTAAATTAGTGTGTCTTTTCAACAAATTCGCCACGCTCGATAAGTCCTTGCCATGATCCTCTGACTGCAATTGAGTTTCGACTTCATCCATCCACGTCTCGAATTCGTCCAAACTGCGGCCGAATAGCAAGGCTTGATATGCATCATTTAACCGGTTCTTCTTTAGCTCGCTAGTTTCTTGTAAAAGACGCCATTCTGCTTCCAACTCGTCTAAACGTTCCTGTATATCCTTCGAGGCATAATGATTTTCCTCGATAAGCGCTTCGCCCTCATTGACGACTGCCGCAACTCTCCCTTTATTTGCCATCAACTCACTCTCAAATGCAGCGTGTTTTTGTATCTTGCTTTGCAAATTCGAGGAATCTCTATAATTTTCATCGCCCGCCACTTGTTGCTTCTGATGTAGCCAACCATCCACCTCATATATGTTTCTGAGGAACTGGTGTAAGTGATGACTCTCCAAAAGTTTCTTTCTTCTGGCTGTTGCACTGTTTTTCAATTTGTCCCTTCTGGTACAAACCGAAGCAAGTCGTTGCTTTATTATACCTGCATCTGCATGTTCACGCGATAGGATTTCATTTGCGAATTTTTCGAGCTCTTCAATACGTCCTAATTGAGACGCTAACATCTTTTCGAATTCCTCATGTTTACGTAACAGCGTCTCGACACCCGATAACGATTCACCAAGATCGTCGTTGTTGAGGAATGCCTCTTTCGTCGCCAGCCAACTGTCAGCCTGATCGGCTTGTTCTTTGAATAATTGCAGTTGATGCGCTTGCGTTAATTTTTGTCTACGATTATCCCAAGCATTTCCCAAGGTTTGCCTGAGTTCTTCCAAATGTTCAAGATTATCCTTGACATCATGGTTGATTGACAGGAGTTTATGGCCATGATCCTTTAAGCCTTTAAATATATCTTGTCTACCGTCAATCTCTGCCTTCCTTTCTTGATGCAGTTCTAATACAGCTTGAGCTTCAGATATAGTGGTCGGTGGTTCGGAGTCATCCATGCGTTTGATAGTATCTGTCACCCAAATATCCAATTCATGTAGATCAGCTTGGAACTTGTGTAACGTATAAGCTTGATTTAAAGCGTCGCGTCGTTGTCGAGTCACACGTTGTAGATCATCCCAATTAGATTGAAGTTCGGACAATATCCCGTTTATTTCGGATGCCTTGTCTGGATATTTATGCGACAAGTTTCGCGCCTCTATCTTATGTTCCTAAAATGACACAAAATAATACAAAAATGAAAAAAATTGAAATAAAAAAATCTTAAAATCATATTTAAAACAAAATATGAAGTGCAACTTATTGAATATTAAACTCAAAATTTATTGAAATTCTATTAATATATGAGTGATATATATTAAATATTAACTATTTTATAATAACTGAAAATAATAATCATAAATATAGAGATAGCTATATTAAATTTTCATTACTATCATTTTAGTTATTGAATAAATTCATGGTTATTAATTCTGAAATAAAAAATTTATAAACATTGATGTCTTCACCTTCAGTTTCCCTTCTATTGCTGTCATATCTCGCTCCATAGCCTCTTGTTTTCTTTGCAACTGTTCGACAGCAGGTAAATCTTTTCCTGTATCACTCGTGTTCATGGCCACTGATTTCTCAATAACTCTTTGGTTTGTGTCGTCAATATCTCGATTAAATAGATGGATCTCTAATGCACCAGCTAATGTTTCGCGATACGCGCTTAGAGCACCTTGCAAACCTTTCCACTTATTATTAAAGTTATCACGCCGTTGTTGAATTGCTTTTGATTCATTATCACGACCCTGCATAAAATATAGCAAAATAACAACATTTTTTAATGATAAAAATATTTCAATTATATACTTCAATATATTTATTTTTTTTCAATGCTAAAAATTTTACCTGTTTTATAAGTTTATCCGCCAAAGCATTAATCGATTTTATTCTAGAATCATCCACTCGCATATCACTGTCTACATCGTCGAGTTTCCTTTGGAGACTTAAGCAGTGCTCATAATCCTTTCCAGTATCACCTGCCTGAACCATCATTTCTTTATCTCTGATCCATGCCTCAATCTTCTCCACCTGATTGTTGAATTCCAAAATATCTTGGGCCTCTTCTAAACCTCTACCTCGATTTCCAGATTCCAACAACAATTTTCGCCAGGATGCATGTAAATGATCTAATTGTTGATGAATTTCCGCGCTCGCTGGATGTTTTCGCGCTAACAAAGTCTCTCCTTTTGCTATTTTATAAAAAAATTTATTATTAAGTTCCGAATAATAATAACAACAAAATAATTCAATGAATCGAGCCATAGCTACTTGTTCATCAATCGATTACCTCTAATTTCTTCAATTCTACTCTGATTTGCTGCCAGCTCTGCTTGGAATGCCTGGTGCTTCTGTAACTTTTTGATTTTATCCTCCAAGCTGGACACTTCGCCCTTAGATGCTTCTGCCTCTAACTTCTTCTGCTTTTCGCCTATCCAAGACTCGGCTTCACCAACATCTCTAACAAACTGTACATGTAGCAGACTAGCTTCCAACCTTCTTCTTCGCGCATCGCATAGGTCACGAATTCTTGCGCGTCTTTGAATGACCTCGTTTAGTCGTCGGGCGATCGTCGATGAGTCAAAATGATTCTGCTCCAGAAGTTTGTTCCCATGCTCTTGCAGCGCCGTTAGCTTCTCTTCGTGGGTAACTAACAGCTTTTCAAATTCGTTGTGTTTTTTCATTTGCGCATCTACTTCTTCGACTGAGACTCCGAAATTATCGCCACTCAGTGCTGCTTCCTGAGTACTAGACAATGTGTCAAGTTGTTTGGCGTCTCGGAGGAAGAAATGCAAATCGATTAGTTGGTCCAAGTGCACTTTCTTTTGTTGCCAAGCGGTGTGTAACCTCTGTCGCTCATCCAATAGCTGATTACACTTTTCTTCGACCTCCTAAAAAGTATATCGATGTGATTAACAGATACTCGCGCGAATGTTATTATCTATGATAGATGTCTGTGACGTATAGCCTTACCATAGCGGCATAGTGACCAGTTTGCACCATAGCTTCGCCTAAATCGAGCACTGAGCTGAAGCTATCCTCTCGTGCTTCGATTTCTCCTTTCAGAGCCTCGTGTTCTGCTTTCAAGATTTGTGCGCTGGCTGCGTCTCGAACTTTTTCTTCCGTTGACATTGTAGCACGGAGTCCAGCTGCCCAGTTCATTAAGTCTCTTACCTAAATTAACAAATTCTCCCGTTAAAAATAATATAAATCGTCAAATATAACTGGTGAAAAATAGAATTTAATACCTGAGTGAGGAATCGCTGCAAATCGCAGCTAGCTTGCAATTGATCCCTTCGATGAGCAGATCTTTCTTTCAATTCCTCCCAATGAGCAACAACAATTTGTTGCTGCTGATCGATGTGCACCGCGTTGTTACCCGGATAATGTACTTGTAATCTGGATGCATCTTCGACTAACACTTGCAGCTGAGCCTCCAAAGCGACCAAATCATTCTCAAATCCTTCATGTCGTCTAATTAAAGCTAAAACGGAATTTAAATCGCGACCAAGATCCTCTGGCAAAGCAGCCTCTTTCTCTTGTATTCGTGATAGCGCTTCTGCCACATCGCGATGAAATCGATGAATTTCGCCTGCCGCTTGCAATCGTTGTTCGCGATTTCGGATGAGACCCAATAGATGTTGCCACGATTCTCTACAATAAAAAATTGTATCTTAAAGTTAAAGTTTTGTTATTTTTTTTGAAACTATGTAAAATTTGTAAGTAAAGGGTACAATTCAGACAAATAATTTTATTACTTGTAATACAGTAAATAATTATATAGTATTGACAAGTGTGCAAAAATTTGTGAATTAGTTAATATATAATTTCTACATTACAACTATTACAAGATTTTAGAATTCGAAAATTTTAAGGCAGAGTTTTAGAAAGCAGAAAGAAGGAAGACTGAAGATTTCGGATATAAGATTGCAAAGTCACAGAAAAATGAGAAGCATGAAAGATAGAATCGTAGCATGACGCTTATCTATATAGGATGTTCCACAATTCGTGACCAAAATTTTAATAACATATTCCTGACAAAAATCCTAATACCAAAATGTCGGGCTATAATAGTTTTTAAATTAATAGCGGTTAAAGTTAATTAATCATAGAGATAACGTTGAAATACTTCACTAATTATGTTTAAATAATTATATATGCAACGTACATAACATAAAAATATTATAGGATATTAAAAATAATAAATATATATAACGAATTAATTTAAAAACTATTATAGCCTTGACATTATTAGTATTTTTATCTTATTTTTAAGTCAGGAATATATTATTAAAATTTCGATTATGAATTGTGGTACACCCTGTATATACATGAGTCAGTCATGTAACCAAGCATGTACTCACTTCATTGCCTCCTGTCGATTTTGTACTTGAAACACTGGATCGTCTTCATCAAATCTATATTGAATGCGTATACGAAAAAAAAGTTAATAACCAACACCGACCCAACACCGAGAAAAAACAAACACAAATAATTACACGAAATATGATATTAATTTACATCAAATATGCCATCTTGTTAATTTATTGCATGCAATTAAATGAGATATTAATATTCTACGAAAGTAATAAAAATGTAATGAAACAAAAATAATGACGAAAAATTCTTATTGAATTAAATATGTTAAAGATTTACCCTAATTGTTCCTGACGTTTTTCGATATCCTGGATATAAGGACTTTCGTTCGCAATTAGTTTTCTGGCTAATTCTTCACACTGATTAAACCTCTCAGATCCAGCTTCTATTCGATGCTTGAAATCATTGAATTTCGCTTGCAATAGCAGTAGATGTTCGTAATCTTGTCCGTAATCCTCCGACGCGGCTGCTTGTTCTTGCTCTTTAATCCATTGTTCCAACTCTCTGCTCTCTAAGAAATATTCATGGCGATACATGCTCTCCATTAAACGTTGCTGTCTTACTGTAGCCAATCGCTGCAAGGCGCGCATTTGTTGAACAATCGCTTGCTGCTTGTTGGCTATCGCTTTACTGTCGGGATGCTTTGAGTTGATCATTGTAGAAGCAGTATGTCCCATTTCTGTCACAATACCATTGTATGTGTCTAATTCCAACTCAACAGCCTGTAAATTATAAGCCAGACACGAATTTTTAATATTATAGTAACATTACTATATAATTATGATGACACTATAATTGCACTAGCTAAATAATAAAGTGAGTTGTTTAACTAATATAACTAATATAACTAAGTATTTATTATTCGTTTTGCAAAATATACCTTATGTTTTGTCAATAATTTCGTGGCGGCATCGCGATCTCTACCATAATCGGTAGAACTCAGCACATCATTCTTTTCATTAAGCCAGCTTTCGACTTCACCAGCTTCGAAAAAGAATTCTTGTGCTCTTAGGGACAAGTCCAAAGCTCTGCTGCGCTCTCCTGCTTTGTCTTGTAAGTCTCTCCACGCATCATCCAGAACATCGCACAGTTCTTGGATCTAGTAAAATCATTAATGCATTTAATTATTTATTATTATCTAATAGCTCAATGAATAACATTTTCAACAAGTTACTCGCGCAAAACAAATACAAATTAATGATTCATTAAGTAGTTAATTGCTGAAATCAATAAGGTTGACACACTGTCTGTAGTTCTGTCGCTATGGCAAAAGTTTTATGTCTGCATGCAATAACATATACGTATACACCTTCTATCTCGATTCCTGAGACTTATTTCTTAAGCAATAGAATAAAATCAGAAAGCTTGTGCAATGAATTGAATTATTAAAATTGATAATAAATATAAAAAATAAATTAGATATTCCTTGAAGTTTTATATCTTTAGTATGAAATGAGCTGCAAAACAAGTGAGATAATAATAAAAAAACAAATATAAAAGATTATATTATTAAAATACTTATATATAAATTTTCGTATTCCTATAAAAAAAAAAGAATAAACATCCATTGGTCTGTTTTCTATTTCCTGCATTAGAACTTTCTTTCTCGCTTTCGACAAATATCAAACATATATTCACTTTAAATTCCAAAAGTACACACTAGTTCAGTTACAGAAAACAGACCTTATATACATATAAACGATTCTCAATACATGAATATCAAATCTCTTTGACAAAAAAAGTTACGCATAGATGTAGACTTTTTCGTCAAAGAGTGTATATCTGTGTAACATTTATTAAATAGTACATACATCTGAAAATAAATTCCTACTGTAATTTTTAATAATTTTTATACATGAAGTTTTATAATACTTTGGATATTTTGTAATACGATTTTTAACAGCATATTGAAATTTCTAAGATTTGCATGTATAAAGAATCGATCATATACTATAATACAAAGATAATTCATATAATTTTAAAAATTATGCTACAAAAATATAATAACTGTAGTTAACATCTTATAAAAACAATAATAATTAAAATAATTTGTTAATTACGTGATGTCTAACTGGATTGCTAACAATTATCATTGAAAAGCAATAAACATTTGTGACAACATTTCTCATGCGTTTGTGTGTCTACCTTACCTCCGTAGACGCGACACCCTTCGAGATGCTCCTGCTGTGCAAAAATCATAAGTTCTTACTCCAGTCTCATATCAGCCAATTATCGTGCGAATCCACGAAAAAAAAAAGATTATTATTTGATAAAGAAAATCTTTACCTTTTTCTTCTCAGGATGAGCTTGATCAATGAGCGTCTGTCCAGAAGCCAGAGTCTTATCTATCATAGGCTGATGACCAGCAATCTCTGCTTCTAGTTTCTTATGTTTCTTGTGCAAAGTCTGGGCCTGATGCAAATTCTGTCCGAGTGTCGTTGAAGACGCTTGAGGCAAATGATCTTTGATCCATTGCAATTCTGCGTCCAACTCAAAACCAAATTTGTGGAAGCGCAAACTCTCCTCCAATGCTTCTCGACGTCGTTTAGCTGGTTCTTGCAGACTGCGGAATCTATCAAATACAGTGAACTTCGTGCATCATTTGTATATCAACGATCATCTCGGTAACAAATCAGTTTAATTATTGAATAATTAGTTTAAAAGAATTGAAAAAAAAATTTTCACGTACTTTCTTTGGGTCGCTTGACTGGTCTTCAGAATATTTGCCGCATCGAAATGACCCTCGTGTGCCATTTCCTGACCCATCGCCACTAGATCGTCCACTTTCTGCTCCCATTGACACATGTCACTCTCGAGAGTCTGATGTTTCTTTAATAATTCCTTGCAACTGCGGAGATCCGTACCTACTTGTTTACTTTGCAAACAGGTCTCTATCTCCTCTAGTTTCAATCTAGCATCTTCCATGGTGCGATTATATCCGTGTTGTGAGGCCGCTTGTCGTAATCTACGACCTTTTTCCAACGATAATGCTACCAATCGATCCCATTGATCATTTAAGTCCTTCAAAGTTTTTCCTACATCATCTGATCGATAATTTTCTTCTGATATGAGCGCTTTGCCCGCTTTATTGACTGCTCTTAACTGTCCCTCATTGGCGCGTAATTCTCGCTCGAAAGCTTCGTGCTTTTGTAGTTTACGCTCAAGATTGTTCAAATCGCGATAGCTTTCGTCGGCTGCGGTCTTCATTTTGTCACCCAACCAATCACGCAAGTCATCCACTTCGGCTGAGAATTGTTGATAATGCTCGGATGCTTTCAAGGCTGCTCTTCGGCGTTGAGCAGCGTCCTTCACTGCCATACGACGAGCTAGTACTTGATTTCTTCTTTCATTAATGCTAAATAAATTAGATTTATGTAGCTAATATGATATAAAAGTTTTTTTATTTTATTTTAAAAACAAATTTTTTTTTATAATAATGACTTCAGTTTAATTTTATAAGATCTATAATATTATTTTTTTACTCGTATCGATCAATTTGACAAATTCTTCTAATACTTACTAATCTTTTTCATAATGATTTTGGGCGATTAACTTGTCCGCGGTGTCACTAAATGCCTTTAATCTGTCATCTTGCGCGTGAAGAGTGTTCTCGAATTTTTCATGTTGTTTCAATAGAGCCTCGACGTCATCCAAAGATTCGCCTAAGTCCGTGAATTCAAGGAAAGCTTCGTGAGAACTGGTAGTAGCTTCGATCTGATCGGCTTCTCGATTAAATTGTTGTAATTCTAGACATTGTCGTAACCATTCTTCTTTTGCTATCCAATTGGCTGTTACTGTTGGATATAATCCATTTAACTTTTCAAGACGTTCGCGTACATCTGTCAATGTTGGATTACGACGTAATAGTTCTCTACCGAGATCTTCAACCTCGCGAAATCTACAAGAATAGAAAAAAAAAATTGTTTATAAAAAATTAGATATTTCACTAACAATATTCTTTACTAATTCAATAAAAATGTCCTAATAAAAATTATTTTAATATACTCATTATTATAATAATAAATCATTTTTACTAATAATATTAAATACAGTTTTTACTGAATTTCATGAATACTGAAATTTTTAAATACAAAATTGATTGTACAATGTTGATTGTACAAATCAGCAGTTACGTACTCGTCTTCTTTGGTTCGTATTTCTTCTCCAAGTTCCATGTGCTGTTTCTTAAGTTGCTCGGCAGTAGCAACGTCTCTTACTGGTTCTTCGGCCTTCATTATTTCTTGTGAATCGGTGGCCCAATTAATTAAGTTTTTCGAACTGTTTATAAATATTTGTTGGCCGACCCATTGACATTGTTACATTCGTGTGGATACGAATTCTTAACGCTGTTGCCTAATAAATTCACTTTCCGTACCTATAAAAATAAAATAAGATAAAATATATTATATAAGAAAATTAAAAGAGTTATTATTTTTAATTTATTATTTGACGCTTTATTTATTCAAAATTCTAAAATTATCTCACTTTTTCTTCAACTGGTGCCAATTCCCGTTCCAAATGCTGATGTCTCCTTTGCAGAGCCTGAACAGTTTTCAAGTCAGGTCCCAACTCGGCCGTGTCTAGTTGAGTGATTTTTTCCAGCATCCAATCGTGAGCTTCGTCGCAAGTTCTGTTAAATAACTCAACACTGGACGCGCCCTCCAAGCTCTTTTCTTTTTGTGTTTTCAGCCAGTTTAGATGATCCCATAACTGATGAATATGCCTCTGTCTGGCCTTGACTTTATCTAGCTGACTGTGGCCTTGGCGAACAAATTCCTCTACCGCTGTGTCTATTGCCTCCACCCGTTTTCCGGAAGCCGACAGATCCGTTAAAAATTTCTCATATTTTCTCCTTGCCGACTCAACGTTATCGCGAGGATCGTCGACTCTTAACATCTTCTCTTTGTCTTTGATCCACTTTTCAAAGTCGTCGCATTCCCGGTAGAAGCCATAAAGCCTGATGGCGTCCTCCAGCAACGCATGACGTTTTACAGCAAGATTCTGTAACTCGCTGTAAGTCTCATTGATTTTTTTCTGTCGCTTTTCCACGCTATCACCGTCACTCACCGTCTTTCGCTTGATTGGCTTTACGGTAGACTTAATGGATTTTAATCGCCGGACTGGTACCACCTGCTTTACCATCTTCGTTTTCTTTACGCGCTGTGTCACTTTGATCTTCTCAGGTCTACGTACTTGTACTTGCACGACCTTTGGCTCGATCTCACGCACGTAATTAGCCGGCACAAATCCGTCCGTACCGTCAGCTTTCCTAACACTCCACCAGTCAGGATTTGTTTTGTTCAACAGGAACATGACTTCACCCTTCACCATATGCATGCCCTGACCGTTAAACGGATATAAACTCTTCACTTGTGGTACCAATCTATCCTCATTAATAGTTCGTGGCTCGAGTCGTTCAACTACTTCGTCTACCCACTCGTCTTGCGGCACCAATCTAATCTCCTTGCTCCATTCTTCCTGCTCAAGTTCGGCGACTGGTTCTGGATCTGCAGACAACTCCAGGGTGGAGATGCCGGATTTAATGAGTTTCTCCGCCTGTGTGTTTAAGGACTGTACATCACCTTTGTAGGCGTTTAGCTCACCCTCCAAATCTTTATGCCTTTGCAACAAAGCTTGAGCGCTTGGTTCGTCCACTCCATAATCTTCCGAGGCTACTAGAGCCATTTTCTCGTTCATCCACGAATCCGCCTCATTCGCATCGGCGTAAAATTGGAACGCTTCAGCTGCGTCGTCCAGCTGTTTCTTTCGCAATGCCGCTAATTCCTCCAAGACTCTCCAATGTTCCTGCAACGAATCTATTCGATTTTGTATCTCCAATGCCGATGGATGATTGTCAGCTATCAGTTTTCTGCCGGCATCGCAAAGTTGCTCGGATTTAGGCCTGCGCACTTTCGTTTCGTCTTGCAAGGCTTTATGTTTCTGCTGCAGCGATATTACGGCTCGCAAATCTTTCGCGGAAATGCCAGCCTTACATATTCGCTGTTTCTCTACCAACCACGACTCTTCGTCCTCATGATCTTGAAGAAAGTGGAAGAAATTTCTGGCGTCCTCTAGACGAGCTTTACGCTCTTTACTGTTTTCTACAAGTTCATCGTAGGCGCGATTTAGTAACTCCAGTTTCTGCTGCAACAATGGTGCCTCCTTATTTTGCGGCTGTGCCAAGTGTTGAGTGGCCTGTCTACCAAGTCGTCTCTGACTCTCACCTAGAGCCGTCACCTGCAGTTCCTGCAGGCTGTGTTTTTGCAGCAGATCTTCGACTCCGAGTAAGTGCGGACCCACATCAGTGCTCTGGAAGTTCAGCTGAAGCTCTTGGATGGAAGCCAACGTTGTATCGATTTCTCTCATTAAGGTCATTAGCGAGCTGAGCGCGACCAGATTGGATTTGTGATTGTCCAGCAAAGCCAGCAATTCTTTCCATCTCTGCAAAACCTCTTGCTCTCTGCTGCGTACTCTTTCTAAACCATGATAATTTTCCCGCACTAATTCTTCGGACATGTTTGTTAAGTCATGGAAGCGCTCTTCGCGTGCCAAAATATCGGCACTGATGGCCTCGTGCTTTTTCACTGTGGCATCTACTTGTGCTAGATTGCTGCCATATCGGGGATCCGTCAGGACCTGAATCATTTCTTTCAAGTAACCTTCTCGGAGTACACTTTTTCTTTCAAATTTGTAATTCAATTGCTCGAGCCTCTCTTGTCGTAACAACTCAGTCCTCAGGGCGACTTCACGGCGATGCTCCGCTCTCTCCAACTCTACCCAATTTCTCTCGATGTCATGGATCAGCTGACCCTCCTGTGGGGTAAACGCTGGCTGATTCAGAGACTTTAATCGGGTATTTATGTGGAAATATAATGCTTCTATCTCGGACCGTTCCTTGTACTTCGGTGGTTTCTCCACTGTTCGGTATTGCTTGAAGGCTAAAAGTTCCCGTTGAATACCTTCGAGTGAGTTTGGGAAGCTGCGATTTTCCAAAACCTCGATTTTCATTTTGATCCATTCCAACAGGTCAGTTGTTAACTTTTCGTAATGAATTTTCATCTTGTCGGCGTCCATCATCTGGCCAACAATCTGTGAGTACAAAAAAGAAAGTCAACTCTGTAATTGAGATATTTAATTAAATTTAATTGATTTTTAAATTTTTGAATTTATAGCTTTTCAAAGTATAAAATATTTTAATTATAAAAAATAATATATAATATATACATATATATAGATATTCAAATTAATTAAATACACAAATCA